CGTGTTGTTTCCTTTTAAATAAAGTTTATCTCATATCATGTGTGTTTTTTGTGGTTTGTAATATTTTGGATTCATAAAGATTGCTTTAGATATTTTTTTAAAAATAAATTTTGTGTAAATAGTTTTGGGCTGTAAATATGTGGTGTTAGATAATACAATTTGCGATTTATGCAGGGTTTTAATTAAATTTTCGACGAATATTTGTTTTAAATTAAAAAATTTGGATATATTTTGTGAATCTTTTACGTGCACTCTTTTTATATATATGTTAAGATATTTAGAATTAATTTCATTATGATTGACTAAATTGTATAATAATATAACATACTTTGGACAAATTTTTTATATCATTTTTTTCTAGGTAGAACTAAATTTGTAGTCGGAAGAAAAAAAAGTTTGTGACATTCATTTTTTCACTGGTATAAATAAAGAAACGTAGAAAGATTAAAGCGTGGAATGACTTTTTCTTTGTTCTAATGATTTTTATTTATTATCTTGTGAAATTATTTATTGTAGGCCCTATATATTAAATGTTTTCACTAACTGATTATTTTTTATAAACAAAAAGATTAATGTCATAATTTGGTTTAATTAAAAATTAAGTATTAACTAAAATTATTTAGGAGTTATTAAATATTTTGTTAATTAATTTAGTTTAAGTAATATGAAGATGAATTTTAAGACCATTTACTCATACTTAATACATTATGACATAGGTGTTAATTTTCTAAGAAACTTACTGATGAAAAAAAACTATAGTTTATATGAAACACTTTGACTAATATTTGGGTATGGGTTCAAATAATTATATATCAACGCAGGCAAGTGCCTGGAAAAAAAAAAACATTTGGTTTACTTGTCGTAAGGATCAGCTTTGTTTTGAAGATATCTTTACAGGCTGTCAAGTGTTTCTTAGGTTGCCTTGCAGCTTCCCCCCCCCCCCCAACTACATGTTTCTAATACATAAATATATGAATTAAAATGAAGGTTAGTGTAGAAATTCTGGCTGGTTTGTTAATGTTATTGGAAGGAGACCCCTCCACCTATTTCATCAGTTTTGTTTTACCATAGCTAGAGAAAGAGATGGATCTTGAACCTGGAAAATGTTTTTAAAATTAATTGTTATAGAAGTGATAGGGGTATGAAGGTTGTGTCTATTCTTACCTAACACTAATGACTAATGATATTGCTGATGTAATTAATTAGCAGTAGTAAGTATTACTGACCATTGGATATCTTTTGAACTCCCATTCACCATCCAGGGTGTCTATAATTAACCCTAATCGTTCATTTGGTGTTTAAGAAATATCCACCAGAGTTTTGAAATTAGAGATACGGTGGCTTGGTATGTTACCATTACGTTCGATGCATTGGAGCAGGATGATGAGTTTAAGTTTCAGGTTCAGATTTATATGATAATTGTTTGATTAGTTTAGCTGTTGTGGAGTTGTTATTTGATTAAATAGTTAAATCTTACTATGATGTTAAGAAAATGAAGCAAACATGATTAGAAGGATCCGACTTTTATATGAGTTGAAATCGTAGATTCTATTGACAATTTTTAAAAGAGCAAACTTAGTTGTCTTGCAATGAACAATTTTTTTAAAAAAAAAGAATAGAAGCACTTATAGGATCCGAAATTTATATGAGTAGAAAAATGTAAGTTAAATCTATTCTATTAAAATAGAGTCATTCTTTTTATCTACTCATACAAGTTGTCATTTAAATTTGGACCCTTTCTAGAGTGTTACATAATACAAGTTATTATATAATTGATTGAACCGCATTACTTAAATTAACCAAGCGGTTATTTATGGAATAGAGTTTTGGGCTTACTTTTGTTTTTATGACATTTAATTGTTTGGTTTTTTGGTTTAGTATTAAAGAAAAACTCCAAAAAACATTAAATCAACTTTCCATCTTAATGGATCAAAAATCAATTACTATTTTCAAGCCCAAAAATATTTAATATTTTCAAGAAAACAAAAGTATCTATTATTAATCACTTATTTAAATCATATACTTTAAAACATGTTAATATTTTTTTTTAAATAACAATCACTCTATCTTGATAAATTTTAATGGTAACTTAAATAATTTTTTTTTTATTTTTCATAAATAATTTACAGATTTAAAAAAAAATGTAAAGCAAAGCCAAAAACCAAATCTAAAAACTAAAATCCAAAACCAAAAGCTGAAAACGCAGGTTATATTTTTTGCTTTTTTTTATTACAAAATAAACTATTTCAAAATTTTTAGAAAATTATTTTGTCATCTTTTAAGTTTTAAATTACATGTTCGATTAATTGAGATTTGTTTGTTGGTAATATCAGTTCAAACTAACTTAGCAGGTCTAAAAATTAAAAACTCAAACCAATAGCTGAAAATCAAAAATAGAAACTTAAAAACTAAAAACCAAAAACAAAAATTTAAAACAAAATCTAAAAATAAAAAACTGAAACTAAAAATTAATGAAAAACAACTATCACCACAAATTTTGGTGAACTGATTTTATTTGAAAACATTCTTTAAATTAAGATAAAACCCAGTTACATAAATTTTTAATCATAAAAAATTTCTGCGCTTGAATTATATTTTTTTCTTTTTTTATTACAAAATAAACTATTTCAAAATTTTTAGAAAATTATTTTGTCATCTTTTCAGTTTTAAATTACATGTTCGATTAATTGAGATTTGTTTATTGGTAATATCAGTTCAAACTAACTCAGCAGATCTAAAAATTAAAAACTCAAACAAAAAATAGAAACTTAAAAATTAAAACCCAAAAAATCTAAATCTAAAAAAAAATCTAAAAATAAAAATTGAAATTAAAAACTAATGAAAAAAAATCATCACCACAAATTTTGGTGAACTGATTTTATACCAAAACATTCTTTAAATTAAGAGAAAACCCCAATTATATAAATTTTTAATCATAAAAAATTTGGGTAATATCAGTTCAAACTAACTCAGCGGATCTAAAAATTAAAAACTCAAACCAAAAGCTGAAATCAAAAATAGAAACTTAAAAATTAAAACCCAAAAAAATCAAAATCTAAAACAAAATCTAAAAATAAAAATTGAAACTAAAAACTAATGAAAAAAAATCATCACCACAAATTTTGGTGAACTGATTTTATACCAAAACATTCTTAAATTAAGATAAAACCCCAATTATCTAAATTTTTAATCATAAAAAATTTCTGCGCTTTTAAGCACGGGTCAAAATCTAGTATACTTTTGGAAAAATTTCGATGATTCATAATCGTGATTGTAAGTTATACAGCGACGTTTAATATATATATCTCTTTTGGTATCTGAAGCAATTTACTGTGTTTTTTTATTTATATGTTTGGTAGTTTATATCAAATTTTCTCATCAGTAGCATTAGTATATAATTGGCTTTTTCCTAACGAGAAAAAAAAACATGAATATCTATTGGAAGAACAATAGAAAACTATAAAAGTCTTGCCCATACATTTTCTTTTAACGACGAGTAATCATGTTGTCAAAATTATTATCTTTTGAATTCGTCAAAAGAAGACGACTTAACTCCACTCCTGTAGTATGGAATCTGATGAAAAACCTTAAGAAAATCAATTTTTTAAAAAATTTATTTAAAAGAATTTATTTAATTTCGAAAATAAATCCGTTTTTTTAACGCGGATTAAAATCTAATTAATAATTAAATTAACAAGAAATATAAATAAGAATGGGTTGTTTTGTGATTAGTTTTTTTCATACCGACTTTAATGTTCTAAAACTATATCTTAATTGGAGACAGTATAAAGGAGTACGATTCATTATACGATTCTCAACGAAAAACATTTAATTCTAACACTGAATGCTTAAGACATGCAGATTCATTGAATATACATGTTTAAGAACTACTCCCTCCGTTCCTTAAAGATACATATTCTAGAAAAAAAAATTGTTTATAAAATATCTATTTTTTACATTTTCAGTGCATGTTTTATTAATTAATTGTAAACTTCGAAAAACTTAATTGCACTAATTGATTTTTTATTGGTTTAAAATTATGGAAAAATGATAAATACAAAAAACTATACGAATTTATTGTGTTTTATTAAAAAGTGTGAAAAACTATATAATATTTACCTTTTATGAATAGAGGGAGTATTAATTAGTTTCTATATCTATGAAAGGGGAAATCTCCTTAGTTTCTCTATTAATTACCATTTCTTGTAGCGGAATAAATAAAATAGTAAGGAGATTTTCCATATTCTCTAGTATATAAGCTTTCCATAATTCGAACTTAATCTTTTATAAAAACATCTTCGTTTGGGTTGAATCTTCTTCTCGTAATAAAGATTTTCAGTACATACAAAGAAGAGTAGTTCATAAACATCACAAGGGAGGATGCAGAGCATGGGACTCGTGGCGGATATAGGCGTCTTTGCCTGTTTATTAATATTGATTTGTTTCGCAGTTTATGTAAGTTACATATACTTTTGGAAAAAAGTCGATGATTCATAATCGTGATTGTAAGTTATTCAGCGAACTTTAATATATATATCTTTGGGTATCTTAAGCAATTTACTGTGTTTTTTTTTTATATATGTTTGGTAGTTTATATCAATTTTTCTCGTCAGTAGCATTACTATATAATTGGCTTTTTCCTAACGAGAAAATAAACATGAATATATATTGGAAGAAGAGTAGAAAACTATAAAAGTCTTGCCCATGTAATCATGTTGTCAAAATTATTATCTTTTGAATTCGTCAAAAGAAGACGACTTAACTCCACTCCTGTAATATGGAATCTGATGAAAAACCTAAAGAAAATCAAAATTAATTTTGGCGTAAACCAAACCAACTTTGTAAACCAAACCGAGTCAAATAGAATAACAAAAAATCTTTGGCCCAAACATCCAACGGGTACGTCACGTCGTGCAACTCTTTTAGGTCGTGTCTTGGAACTAGTTTTCTAAAAACAGATGTAGAAAGATAATTAGAGGATGAATCAACGAGCTTGACCAAAAGATCACAGCTCATATTCACCGTCAAAAAAATCATTGCTTCTCCAAAGACCACGGTGGAAAAAAAGAAACAAATGATTAGGTAGTTAACCCAAAAAGAAAAGTTGTTTAGTCTTTGATCTTTTCTTTAATTCCTCCAAAGCTGGGACCCCCTCTTAAGATCTCAAATTTGGTTTTCTTTGTCTTCGGCAAAGAGAGAATCGATCTTTTTGAGAGGGTGCCAGTTTGCTTTCTTCTCCAATCTTGTTTCCGGGGGAGAAAGTTTTGATTTTTATTAGTTTGGGGGTTGGATTGAAAAAGTTTTATAAAATGTGGGGAGCCGCCGCAGAACCAGCAGATTCTTATTACCAGATTCGTCCTGAGTGCACCGATGTCCCCAATACCAAATTCAAGATCAAAGTATGCTCTTTTCTCCCTCCTTTATATTTGGAACCGTTTCTCTGTCACCAATGAGATACGCCAATGTTTATGTCTTTTGTTATTGTGTTGTGCTGTGTTCTTTGGATTCTTCTTGTAGCTCATGAAGAGAGAACATTATTAGTTATGAATGCAAACGCCATTTTTGTTTCTTTCCTTCTCTGAAGGGTGCTTAAATGATAAGGATTATTAATCTTAGTGGTGTTTGATTAAGTTGATAAATCTCATGATTGTGATTAGAGAAAGCAGATTCTCACTGGATTTGTATTATATGTGGAAGTGGATTATGTGTTATTTAATTGTTTTGATCTTATCAAACAAGAGAAGATAGCATTACTAGTTATGTGCTTGACTGGGTTTTTGGTAAATACTAATGTTGATCTTTGTGCTGTTTTAGGTTAGTAGCATCACATAGTTATGTTTAGAGAATGTATGAGAGTCTATATTGCTGACAAGTATCTGACTGTTTCTTGATTATGTCTTGTTGCAGCCTGGTAAAACTCTAAGTGTAAGGAAATGGCAAGCTGCATTTACACAGGAAGGGTTCCTCGATATTGGCAAGACTCTAAGTCGAATCCAACGAGGGGTAAGTCTCAAAACATCTGTTATGCAAAAGACTGTAACATTAACTAAACTTGGGTCTGAATTCTGCTTGCTTTCTTGACTGGTTTCTAGGGGATCCATCCATCGATTAGAGGAGAAGTCTGGGAGTTCTTGCTTGGTTGTTACGATCCAAAGAGCACTTTTGAAGAAAGAGAGCAAATCCGACAACGTAGAAGGTTAAAAAATTTCACCATTGTATTTCTCATAATGGTCTTGAATTCTCTTTGCTGCTATATCTTTCTTTTTATTACCTTTTCAGATTGCAGTATGCTTCTTGGAAGCAGGAATGTAAACAAATGTTTCCAGTCATCGGAAGTGGTCGATTCATTACCGCACCTGTGATTACTGAGAAGGGCCAACCCATTCTAGATCCTCTTGTACTACAAGAAACAAATTTAGGTAAAAAGTTTGTATCCTTTTTTTTTTGCTTCATGTAATAGTAGAACCTCATAAACTAAGAATTTTAAGTATTATCATCATCATAGGCGAGGATTCTGATTTCTTCAAAGAGCTTGAAAGCAGAGGACCTTTGGACAAGAAAGTTATCCAATGGATGCTAACACTTCATCAGATAGGTCTGTGATCAGTGTCAGTAACAGAGACTTGTTCTGAGAATATATCATCCAATTCACTTTTGTAAACTTTGACTCTTAGGTCTTGATGTAAACCGCACGGATAGGACATTAGTATTCTACGAGAAGAAGGAGAATTTGTCCAAGCTTTGGGACATTCTTGCTCTTTACGCTTGGATAGACAACGACGTTGGGTATTGCCAAGGTAAAGCCTTTTAGATTCAGATATAATCGTTTGTTCAAGCAGGTTGATTCTTAGGGTTGTTATCTATCTATGTGGTTTCTTGTGAGCAGGAATGAGTGATCTTTGTTCACCAATGATTATGCTTCTTGAAGACGAAGCTGATGCTTTTTGGTGTTTCGAACGACTGATGCGCCGATTGGTATTTGTTTTGTGTGTTCATATATGTTTTGTAATGAGTTTATATTTTAATCTTCGAAAAATGAAAGCGAGGTAACTTTCGGAGCACGGGAAGATCAGTTGGAGTTGAAGCACAGCTTACTCATTTGGCTACAATCACTCAGATTATTGACCCCAAACTTCACCATCACTTAGGTATCTTCTACCTAAGATTTCTCACCTCACTTTTAGCACATATATAATCATCATTTGTGTCTTGAAATGCAGAGAATCTTGGTGGAGGTGACTATCTCTTTGCGATTCGGATGATAATGGTTCAGTTCAGAAGAGAGTTCTCTTTTTGTGACTCCTTGTACCTTTGGGAGGTAACTGTTGCTGTCTTCCTCTCTTTATAAACTCAGAGACATGTTTCTTGGATAGGCAACTAATGTTTCCATTTGAGAGCAGATGATGTGGGCATTAGAGTATGACCCGGAGATGTATTCTCTGTACGAGGAGCCTGAGTTCGAGGGAGAGAAAACGGAAGGTTCCTCCAAAGGCAAACCAAAATCGATAAAACAATGTGGCAAGTACGAGAGAGAGAACATGAAGAACGGTGGAAAAGGCAGTGCAGAAGGTCCTTTGCCTATATCGGTTTTCTTAGTGGCTAGTGTTTTGAAAGACAAGAGTTCTAAGCTTATGACTGAAGCTCGAGGACTCGATGATGTTGTCAAGGTAATGACGTGAGATCTCATAGTGTCTTTTTTTTTTTTTGTCTCTTGAACACCTCAATAATCTGTTCGTTTTTGCTCAGATCTTGAATGACATAACCGGAAACTTGGATGCTAAGAAAGCATGCTCTGGTGCAATGAAACTTCACAAGAAGTATCTAAAGAAGGTTTACTTCTAAGCTTTGTTCTTCTCTCTTAGATTATTTTATATCACCAGTTTCTAGTGAGACATTCTTTTGGGTTTGTGTCTGATCCTTCTTCAGCTCTCTTTCAAGTATATTTAATAGTCCAGATTTTTGTTATTGCAGGCCAAGAAATAGCATTGGAGAAGATTCATGGGTAGTGTTTTTGTTTGTTATTTTTTTACATATTTGATAGCTCGCAAAATCCGGTGAAAAAAGCTATTGGTCAGTGATTTAACGATTCCTTGGTGGCAAGCATTCTTCAAAGAAAAGAATCTTGGAGCCCTAATATACACAACAGCAACTTCTTGTTGTAAAGTGGTCATGCAAACCCATGTTGTAATATCTATGTTAACAAACCTTGTGTTTTCCTTGTATTACCAATGCTAAAGGAAGAGAAGACGTAAAAGCGCACAGAAAAAAATCATATTCCTCCTGGATTTCAAATCATTGTTGTATTTATAAGTTGAGTTGTGTAAATAAACATGAAATATTTGTTGTATTCCTCTAGGATTCCTGCTTTTTTTTATGCTAATCAAATTGTACATAACAGCAAGTCCCTGAAAATATATGCTCTGGTTCTAAGGCGAAAGTCAAGTTCCGCTCAACGAATAAACATTACTGCGGTCCGTTGGCTGCTATATCCGAGTTAACGTGCCAGCTGAAAGTGTATTAGAGCCCATTACTTTGGCTCCAGTTGCCCCGTCTTCAAACGGCGTTAACAAATTGCAGAGTTGTTGTAAGACCAGTATCTACAAGCGCAAATGTTGCAGTAGATGGTAGAGTTGTTGTACGAAGGAGAGAAAGAGAGGCAGCTTGATGTGAATAAACTGAATGTGCTTCTTATTGATCTTTAACGTCATATACAAAGTATATATACATCAGCGTATGATCTAATAACCGTCATATCTAACAGGTCTAATATACATCATATAGCTAGCTCAATATTCATAGGTCTAGCTCAATATTCCCCCTCAAGTTGGAGCATGGAGATTAATTCAACTTGGACACTAAACGTTCGAATTGCTGACGGCCTAAAGCTTTGGTAAGAAAATCGGCCGGTTGATAGTTTGTGCATACATGAATTGTAAAGATAGTACCATCCAAAACTGCATCACGAACAGCATGACAATCTGATTCCACATGCTTAGTTCGTTCGTGAAAAATTGGGTTTGCCGCAATGTCGATAGCTGCCTGACTGTCTCAAAATAAACGAACAGGTCCGTTTTGTGGAAAACCGATTTCCTTTAGTAACTCGAGGAACCAGAGAATCTCGTCTAAAGCACTCCTCATTGAGTGATATTCTGCTTCAGCCGAAGAACGAGCAACTGTATCTTGTTTCTCTGTTTTCCAAAAGATTGGAGAACCTCCTAGAAGCATGACATATGCACTTAAAGAACACCTTGATACTGGACATGAGTTCCAATCTGAATCACAATAAGCTGTCAAAGTCAAGTCTGTATCGAACCAAAAAATAACACCCTGACCAGGAGTAGACTTGATAAAACGAACAACTCGTAGAGCTTCCTCCCAGTGTGCCTCTCGCGGCGCTTGCATAAACTGAGAGAGGGCGTCCACGGAGAAAGTAAGATCCGGCCTAGTAATTAGAAGATAGAGAAGACGACCAACAAGTCGTCTATAGCGAGATGGATTAGTCAAGAAAGGGCTTTGATCCCTACCAAGTTCATGAAGTTGTTCCATCGGAAAGTTAACCGGCTTGGAACCAAGCATGCCGGTTTCTTTAATTATTTCCAGTGCATATTTGCGCTGTGATAAGAAAATTCCTTCATCATTGCGAGAAACTTCAAGTCCAAGAAAATATTTTAGCTCGCCTGAATCCTTCATGTGGAAACAAGTGCTTAGGTATCCTTTGAAAGAAGGGAGAGCATCGTCATTATTTCCGCAAATCAGTAGATCATCGACATACACAAGAACCCGCATCTCAAGCGCATCTCTTGTATATATAAAAAGAGAGTAATCTTTATACGATTGAGTAAAACCATATTCTTTCAGAGAAGTGGATAACTTGGCAAACCAGCATCTTGGAGCTTGTTTAAGATCATATAGAGATTTGTGGAGGCGACACACCTTGTTTGGGTCTGAGTGACGAAAACCTTGTGGAATTTTCATATAGACTTCTTCTCTGAGACACCGTGTAAGAAGGCATTATGAACGTCCATCTGATACGCCTTCCATTTATTTACTGCAATAATCTTAAGCAAAGTACGCACCGTATTCATCTTAGCCACCAGTGCAAAAGTTTCAGAATAATCTTCTCCTGCGACTTGATGATTTCCAAGAACTACCAGGCGAGACTTATGGCGTTCGATTGTACCATCATCATTGTACTATATTTTGTGAACCCAAAGATTTCCGAGTGCTTCTTTTCCTTCAGGAAGATCAACGAAGCTGAAGGTACGATTTTTCTCAAATGCATCCATTTCATTAACCATAAACTGACACAAACTTTATCTTGCAAAGCTTCTTTATAACTCTTAGGCTCAATTCCTGCTAACACTGCTGCCAAGAAGGCTTGATGGCCTTTAGAGAATATGGCGTTAGATATGTAATGTTCAAGAAGGTATGGAGTGTTACCTGATACCATTGAGGACTCTGATTCTGGCTCGAGAAGAACGGGAAATGTATTATCAGTGCAGCGGACATTGTAAAGCAAGTAATCATCTAGTTGTTTTGGTGGTTGTTTCGTTTTATGACCTCTTCCCAACATAATTTATGAGCTAGAATCTGTCGGAGCAGGTTGTGGTGTTTGTTCAGAGTTAGAGACCGAGTCAACCTCGACTGCAGGAGTGGAATCATCTGCGACTACTGGTGTCTCAGAAACAATATCAGGAGACGGAGACGGAGCAGTATCAGGAGGCGGAGCAGTAGTGACAGTCTCAGCAACTGGATCATGCAAGGAATTATAGACGACTCCTCGGAACTCCCCCTGTCATCAAGTCTTGGTGAAATAAACCAGTCATCATCAACCAAATTCTGTTGAACTTCTGGAGCAACTGCCGAAGGCAACAAACTCTGAAACGGAAAAACATCTTCTCGAAACACCACATGACGTGAAACAAGAAATTTCTCAGGGTCTAAATCGAACACTTTCCATCCTTTCTTCCCAAAGGGATAGCCCATAAACACACAACTACGACTCCTTGGACCAACTTGTCCTTGTCGCGAGAACGAAGATGCGTATAACATGCTGAACCGAACACTCGTAAGTGATCATAGCTGGGTTTCTTTCCAAATAGGATCTCATGTGGAGTTCGCTCATCGAGAAATTTTGTTGGAGTAATGTTAATAACATGAGCCGCAGATAAAATAGCCTCACCCCAAAATGTGGTGGGTAAACTTGCTTGAAAAAGAAGAGAACGTGCAACATTAAGAATATGCATGTGCTTTGATATGTTGCATATTTACTTGGTTTTAACCTTGCATTCTTGTTCATGTTGAGCATATAGATTAGATTTAGGCATTCTTAGGTTGCATTTTGCATTCATTTGTCTTTATCAGGTGGTGGAACATGCTATGGATTTCTTGGAGGTGTTTGGCATCAATTATGTGCCAAAAGAGAGTGCAAAGATGTCATTTGGCGAGCCGGAGCAGCCACAAAGGAGTCAAGAGGTCGCTGCAAGCAACACCAGCCGGAGCGGGGTCGCGGGCGGAGTCAGGGGGTCGGCCCAGACCACAGCGGACCCACGCAGCGGGGCTAGGGGGTCGCTCGGCTTTTCAACAAAACGGAGAACACTCCCAGCGGATCTTGGCAGCGGGGTCGGGACTCCGCTGTGAGCTCCGGAGCGGGGTCTTGGCAGCGGGGTCACGGGGTTGTGACCCCGCTGTGCGTCTTTTATCTGACGAAAAACTTGTTTCGAGGACCTTTTTGCAATTTTTGTTTTTTATGTTTTTGAGTTTCAGAAACCTAATTAAAACTACGTTGTAAGCCTCCAGAGACATATAATCTTTTGTTCTTGAAGAAAAATTCTTTTGATTGAGATTTCATTGCTTTCATCTTGTGTTCTTGTTGATTTCTTATCTATTTCTTTACATGATTAATCTGAAATCCAATATGGGTTTAACAGAAATCATGGAGATTAGTAAGTAATCACCTTTTGAATTCATGGGTTAGGGAGATTAAGGGTGATTAGGTTAGTTCTAGGTTGTTTTAGTGTTAGATTTCTCTTGTTCCTTGCTTATTAGAGTAACCATAATGCCTCTTTTGAATTGATCACTCAAAAGTTGATCTCTAGACATTTCCCACTCACAAAGTTTTCGATGAAATGTCTGAGTCAACTCTCTTAAGCTTTTAACAGTCTTTACCAGGGACACTTGTTGTTAAAGGTGTTAAGATGGCTAATAGATCTATTCCTAATGAATATTACTTTCATAATATTCAACCAAAGACATTTGATGCTTGAGTTATGGTAGTAAATGAACTTTCATCTAGACATAGAGCTTGTTTAGAATCGTATCTAGGCCTAAGGTAGACAGTTTAATTGATCGCTTGACATCCTTAGATCGAAACTTGATCACCCAAAGTCAAATTCCCTATACCCATGAGTTCTCCTTTATCTTCATTGTCAAAGTTATATCTTTTATTGCATTTTAGTTATATTTAACCTTAAAAACCAATCAATCATATGATCGCACTTAGATTAAGCTAGTACTTGCATTCTCGGTGCTTTTAAATCCCTCAGAACTGGTTCGACAATCATCTATACTACAACATTTGCCTTATGAGCCTTGAAAACTCCTAAAAACATGCTTACACTCCACGCGGTCATTTTGGTGCAGCGTTCCTACACACGATGTTTGGTGAATGATGTCTTGTTGTTAAAAAAAACGAGCTCAAACAAGTGAACTCCGTACCGTTGTCGCTTCTCACTATTTTGACTCTCAAACCAAACTGCTTTTTAGTATATGCGCAGAAATTTTGCAAGCTTGTCGAACTTCCGAATTTTCTAAAAAGAGATGAAGCCAAACTGATCTAGAGAAATCATCCACAATGGTTAAAAAATACACATCACCACACGATGATGGCATTCAATATGGTCCCCATACATCAACACGAATTAAATCAAAACATGCTTGTGTTTAATCAGAACTATCAAAAAAAACTTCTCTTGTTTGTTTAGCCCGAAAACATACGTCACAAGGACTCGGGCTAGACGAGTTTGATTAAATAGAAAAAGGTAAATCTGAAAACACTTAAAATGACGGATGTCCCAACCGTTGATGACACAAAGCTTGATCAGTTTCTGGCCCAACTCTGTTAACTCGAACCGGTGCCACATCCATTAAATAATACACTCCATCCCGTTCTTCACCGGCTCCAATCACGGTCCTCGTGAAACGGTCCTGAACAATACATAGAGTGTCAGTAAACAAAGCACAACAATGTTTCAATTGCTTTAGCAGTTTAGAAACATATATCAAGGAACAATTTAGATCCGGGACATAAAGAAAATTGAGAAGAGAGATCGTGTTCGTAATATGTAACACGCCCATGCTAGATGAAACTGTTTTGCTTCCATACGCAAAAC